TTTTTTCTATTCAGCTATAATGCACCACGTGGGAAACGGCACCACAATACCACAACACCCCAGCAGCGCATTTCACTATCAGAGTTCAGTATCGCTTAAGCATAAAGTTTGCATCTTTAGGGGAATGGCTGCTTTGACTGACAAATTGATGCAATTGGATGAAGCTGCAATAATCAGGCAAATAATAGATCGTACTATGTGCTTATACGTACAAACAGACCATCCAAGAAATCTGTGGTTCAGTTTTCACGAGACGAATTCTAGCTTTACTTTTACATTTCTTTATACGTGCCGTTTAATTATCAGGAACACGGGTCTGTGCCACGCGCCTCGCTAAACAAGCTTTAGCTGATATGCTTGTTTATCTGTTAATGACATCATCACACCACGAGTCAGAAACATGTGGATGGAGAAAAATCTCAGAGAAGCTGTGAGAAAATGTAAAAATCAGAGAGAAAGACAGAGCGACGAGGCGAGTGTCCTTACAGGCGTGAAGTTCTGCGAGGTGAGGAACTGCTGCAGCTGCTGCTGCTCGAGAAGAAGCTGCTTCTGCTGCTCTGACAGGAACGACGACCTGAAACAGATGTTGACATGTGGAAGCACATCTGTCAGAGAGCGCCACCGAGGTTAAATGTTTCTCACTGATTTAGATTTTGGGGTCAGGCACACATGTTCTCGCTAATCTGATCATAAACAACTGACTAAACAAATTTAGTGGGTCTTTCTTCCTGCCAATCAACTCCAGCTGGCGGTGGTTCTGCTGCAGCCTCGTCACGCTCGCTGTGGTGGCACGTGAACCTGCTCCTCTCCACCTGCTGCAAACCTGAGGGTGGAGTGGTCGTCCATCTCACCACAGCTCCTCAGAGCAGAAGAACCACCGACAGCTGCAGTCCATGACAGTCCGCTACGTCCTGCTATGGGGAAGCAGTTTGTAGACATCAACAACAGAAACGTGGCCAGCTGGTGGCAGAAACACCAAACTAAAATTTAAAAATAGGAGTGAGGGGATTCTCCGCTTCAGAAGGATAGAAAAAGAAAAGAAAAAGAAATCACTGAATCCTGAAAAAGTTAGTTAATTCATTTAGATGCTCTTGTTTTCTTCTTCTGTGGTTTTTACAGACAGATTTTTACGTACGGACTCGCACTCTTGGGAAGCTGAAAGCCTTGAGCCAGCGCCAGGGGGTTGAGGGGTGGAGGTTGGGGTCGCAGAGCCGGGAGCGCGGGCTGAGGAGCGTTCTGCACAGGCGACTGGATCACTCCGTTCAGACTGCCGAGCACGCCGTTCACGGCCAGCTGAGGACTTCCTGCGATAGACGCCATGAGCCCGCCCACCACGGGCAGCGCGGAGCCGCCGGCCTGAGCGATCGCCCCCAAACCGTCGTTCAACCCTCGATTCAAGCCGTTCAGCAGCGGCTGCCCGAAGGAGGCGGGGCTCTGCTGAGGAGGGGGGGTGCTCTGGAAGGAAAGAGACGAGCTGCTTCGGGACGGACTACCGGAGTGCAGCTCCTGGAACAAACACAAGAGAAGCGAGCGAGCAGCTTTTTACTGAGTTTACCGTAAAATTGAGAAAATCTACAAAGAGGCTTAAAAAAGACAAATATACTTGCTAATGGTGCCTGACGGGATTGCACGGTGATTTTGAGACACGAAAGGAACTAAAGTTTCTCACCTCAGACGAGGTAACAAAGGAGGTGTCATTCAGGAAGCAGCTTTTGGACAGGGGGCTCTTATTGGTGCTCAGGGGGTCTAAGGAATGAGAGCCACAATCACAGGGTGAAAACTACCAGGTTTGCACTGAACGCCATTTTCTGTACTATCAAAACTGTTCCTACGGTTAATTAACATCAATAAATCATCGGTGTGAGCGGGTGGGGCTGCAAAGGGAGGATGAAGGAATGCAGCTTAAAAATAATAAAAGAAGGTGATGGGATTTATGTGCCCTGAAGTTCGCTTATGAAAGTGGACGGAGGAGCTTAATCTGACCTTGGGTGGATGACAGGAAGTTGATCTGGGCGGACGTGTGCATGGAGCCCTGGGTGGAGTGAACCTGTGGAGGGAAAGGCACGGCCAGCTCCGTGTTGAGCAGCTGCAGTCGCTCCTTCTTGGCCGTCAGGCTGAGGATCTGGTCCTGGAGCCGCTGGTTCTCCTGCTGCAGGGAGTGCAGCGACTGGAGCATCTCCATAACTGGGGGGACAAGAGGACACACTTCAGTCCAGTGTTTCCCACCATCTTCAAGGAGGTATGACTGCAGGTAGCAGGCATGCACTATTTTAAATTAATTATTAAATAATGGAGCTGGTGATGCTAGTGTGCGTTCAGCCTCTGTGAGCTCAGTGCAGAATTTGTCTTCCTGCTCAAAGATCTGCCCACAACAGGCTGTTGGAAGGTCACATTTTAAACTGGGAGTTTCTGGAGAGGCAGCTGAAACATATCAGACCCTCCCTGGCCTCTGTGATCACCTCCACTGATTCTCTCACTCTGTGGAAGATTTCTCTCTCTGCCATCTGGGGCTCCAGCAGGTGATTGCGCTCTTTTTTCTATTCAGCTATAATGCACCACGTGGGAAACGGCACCACAATACCACAACACCCCAGCAGCGCATTTCACTATCAGAGTTCAGTATCGCCTCACTATATGACTCACAAATGTCGTCAGATTCCCGGAGAGATGGTTCAAATTATCGGTGCGGATGTGAAAAAAAAATTTAAACTGACCACAACAAAGAGCAGGGACCAAGGACGCAAAAAAAATCCCAGCATTTTATTTTATTTTTTATTTATAACACAGTAACTCAGGCATAATTCAACACACACTTACGTAGGTCACGTTGTAGGAGCTACAAAGGTTCCCCACGCGAGTCTAAATCAGGCTCGTTTTCAACAGCCCAGCCTGAGGCTGAGCCTTCAGCTTCCAGGCCCCTCTCCTGAGGAACCAGCTCTGGAGACAGACTCCCTCTCAACTTCAAACTTTTCGTTTTGATAGTTAGAGCTGCATCCAGTGAACCTGAACCATCGCTCAGTCGTGCTATTTTAGGCTCAGGCTGCTGGAAGACTTCCCATGATGCACTGGGACTCCCACATCTCTCTTTCGCTCGCTATTGCATGTCAGTGGGTTTTGTGTTCTCTCGCTTCCTGACCCCATTTTCGAAGTATTTCTGGGTTAGGAACTCCAGCTGTCATCATTACTGTCAGTATTATTACTATTACAGCCTAAGAAGTTTTATGATTGGCTCGGGTTGGTTGTTTTATCATTTTTAGCGGGTGATGGGTGGATCGGCACGAAAGGATCCAGGAATATCAGTCAGTGTTGTTTGCAAAATTGGACCTTTCACATCACAAACGCAGACGAACACTGGAGGAGTTCTGCTCTCGGTGTTATTATCATAATTATTGTATTTACTGTAACAACCAGCTGGTGGTGCTCAAACAAAAAGTAAGTACTAGCATTGGATGTTTCCTGCCTCTCTGCTCTCCTCTCGCCCCAGCCGGTCGGGGCAGATGGCCGCCCACCCAGAGACCGTTTCTGCCAGCAAGTGCTTGATCAGATTAAACTCGCTTTGCTGGAAGAGCTGGCGCAATACAATCAAGGGCACAGAGCAGTCGATGGGCGTACAGTTTTCGTGTATTTGCGAACAGTTAAACTTGCACATCGATCCAAAGCAAACCTGTTTTTGTGTAGTTAAATATCAACACGCTGATTTACTGGACGTACTGGGATAAACTAGTCACGGCTAAACGATCGGAGATATGTTTGACAAGAGTGGACTCAGCAACCTGCACTGTGCTTTTTTTTAAAGTCCTGCACTGTCTCACAGGTGTTTCCAATTATTCTGGCAGCTCGGGCCCCCGCTTGGGTTGAAGTCGGGCAGAGTTATGCTGGAAAATATTAGAGGTCACAAAGCAAAGGCTGGGTCCTGAAACATGCCACATTTTCAGCCTTGTGCGCTCAAGTTAAGTCGCTTGTTTTTATACAACACTTTGCTGTTTAAGTAGAAACGAGTGTGTTTATTTTGAGAGTATGTCACAAGTTACTAGTTAGGCTCAAAAAAAGAAACGTACACAGAAAAATCTGCAAAATAAACGTTACGCTTTCTCATGCAGATAAATATAATTAAGGTGAGGACTGTGGGGGTATTTCCTTTTAGAGAAATACACCGAGCTGAGCGCGATGAGACCTGAGGGGGAACAAAAAAAGAGAAGAGCAGCAACCATGGAAATAAAAAGCCGTCTGCATGTTAGTGCTGGGTGTAGGGAGAAAAAAAATGAGCAAATAATAGATTTGAAAGCAAGTGTCAGCTGATGATGTCCCTGGAGGAAATGTGAGTCAGAGCAAAAGGCGGCGAGCAATCTGGTTCAGCGGAGAGACGAGCAGAAATACGACGGCAGAAAGAAACAAAGCAGCTGCTGCAGCAGCTTTCAGAACCGAGAGCACATCTGATCTCTTGCTGAGCTTTTTTTTGTCCTCACACAGGTACATTCATCATCTGACGACAGCGCGAGGCACACGCAGAGGCCGGCAGCGTCTACGTGTAAGGTTCACAACATTTCTGGCTTAAAATGAAGTGAAAGGTTCAAGCAAAGAGTCCTTTCTCTTTCTCAGATCTGTTTTTGAAAGATTCTGAGAGGCTCAAAGATCTCAGCACTGAGCAAAGTGCTGCAGTTCCTCTGATGGCCACTTGAGGCTCCTGTGTTAAAATGCCCAGTTTACATCTCACTGCAGGAAATGATCCGTAGACATGGTCCTCCATAACAGCTTTATGCTGGAAGAAACATTTTCTTAAGTCACCTGGTTTGATTTTTTTAATTGATACTCTGACTGGCCAATAACCGATTCTTACAAATAACACGACTGGCCGTGCGGCTAACTGTACAGCACGCCATACTCCACTGTTAACAGACCACTCAAAGGAGCACACGCCTCACGAGTCTGTGCTCCAGCCTGCTGAGTAAAGTTCTAATATTTTAGAATGAGGCAACTTGTGCATATCACTCTGTTTATGTCCATCCTTTATGCACAGAATACACTCGCTGGCCACTTCATTAGGTACACCAGTTCAGCAACTCGATGCATTAAGGTCAAGGCGAGCAGCTGAGGTTCAAACTGAGCGTCAGCATGGGGAAGAAATGTGATTAAGGTGACTTTGTTGATACCAGGCAGGCTGGCCTGAGTATTTCAGACTGTTGATCTGCTGATCTTCCCTCATAAGCATCTCCAGGGTTCACAAAGAATGATAAAGAAAAGGAAAATATCTGTCCAGCAGCTCCCTGGGAGAAAATGCTTTGTTTACACCAGAGGTTTAAGGAGAACGACCAGACTGCTTTGAGTTGACAGGAAGGCAACAGTAACTGAAATAACTCCTGGTTACAACCAAAGTATGCAGAAAAGCACCTCGGTTGCTCTTCTGCACCTCAGAAAATTAGAAAAACGATTCCTGCTCTGATGAGTCTCGATGTTTGCTGTGAATTCAGACGGTAGTCTCAGACTTTGGCGTGAACAACATGAAAATATGGATCTATCCAGTAACTGAGAACTGTTTAAACACCACAGCCTATACCTGAGTCTTGTTCTTGACCATCTCCATCCTTTTATGAGCACAGCGGACCCCAACCCCCCGGGCCGGTACTGGTCCGTGAGTTGAGGCTCGGGTGTGAAATTTGTGGTTTTCTGGGTTTTTATCGTTAACTTGGTTTCCCTGGGTTACCCACGTTACCATAGCAACCAGAGAGCATTAAGGGGCAGAGAGGAGGATGTTACTCTCAGTGTTGTTGGCGCATTTCAGGAGGACGCTGCTCATAAAGTTACACAGTTACACAGTAAATTTGCGTGTATTATTATCTTTACAAATTTTTTTAGTATTTTTTATTTTGTTGTATTTCTCCGCGACACCTTAAAGGCCGGTCCGTGAAAATATTGTTGGACATTAAATCTTTGGGATGTGGTGGAAAGGCTGATTCTCATCATGGATGTGCAGCAACTGCATGAAGTTATCCTGTGAATATGGACCAAAATCTCTGTTTGCATGGCACCTCGTTGAATCTTTGCTATGAAACAAGTTCTGAAGGCAAAAAGGGGTCCGACACAGTACCAGCACAGTAACTGCAGGTCCATCAAGTATATTTGCCATTTCATTCATCTTATAAACACTTTTCAACATCTAGTCCCGCTGGCCTTACTTACTGTTGACTCCCATCTCTCCGTTGCTGTGTTTCTCCAGCAGCAGATCAATGTGAGAGCTGGCTGGAGGGACGTTCTCAGGACGGGCTCTGACTCCGGTGCCCAGCCCGTCCCTCTGGTCGAACAGAAGAGGAAGACAGCTCATCGGAGACCTGGGCGTGGAAGAGGATAAAGTCAACAGGAAGTCAGAAGCGACACGTCACAGCTTCTGCAGCCAAGCTGGGAAACTACCAATCATCCTCTGTGGCTGTGGTTTGTGTTTTTATCCACATAGA